GGGGGTAGCATATATATATATATGTGTAGGGTTCAGGGCTTAGGGCCCCAATCAATTATGAATATAATGGTCCTAGATTCCTGGATTCCTTGTAGAATCATGGTTTAGGGTACGTCAAATGGACTTCAGCATTATGTTGGCAATTATGATGGGCCCCAAGATTCCACCTTGCAATCCCTTTATGAACCATGTTTATTTCATTTTTTATTTTTTTGTTTGATGCTCCGTTGTTGGTATACTCAGGCCTAGACCCTAAACCCTAAACCCCGATGAGTTTTGCAGGATCCAGGTCTTGGGCCACTTAGGGTGTAGGATGAGGGGTGTACGTGGTTTATAGTTCAGGAGAAATGCTTATGGGGCAGCCATGCCTATTGCACATTGTGAGCCCACCAGCTGAAACTCTTATGGAACTCGTTGGTATGGTATTGTCCCAAACCCTGAACCATGCAAGGACCCCAGGATTAATGGCCTATACTGGGGCCCATGGCATATGGCGGCAACTTTGAACTCAAATTGCAGGTGTCCAAGCCCTCGCAATATTCCGCGACATCCATACCCTAAACTCAAGCCTCAGCATGACAGAGCCCTAAGTCCTGAACATCCAAAAGCACCAGCTATCCAGGCGGAACAAATCAGTTGTCTTTTCATTGGTATATGCTCCTTGTCGAAATCGGTGGCGGCGGCGCCCTTATGCAAGATGCAAGATCTAAAAGCTCTTTGCGAGTTGAAAATGTCCGGCTTCCATTTCAATATTCATCTTCTTTCCTCCATTAGGAGGTCATGTTCCTAAAGCCTCTATGCCCATATGATAGTCGCCCTAAAAAGGGGAACCCAAATATAGAACCCAATTTGCTACAATTCTCCTTATAGGGACCCACCAAAAAGGTATCCCTAATTTTGGGAAACACCCATGGACAACCCTACATAGCCTCCAAACCATCCCGAAGGTACCGAGATGGGGAAGCCCCAAAGCCCCGAAGCTCTTAGCTGACACCCCAAGCCTTTTTCTTACTGCCTTTTAGGTAAGGCAAGGAGGAATAGAAAAGAACATGGAAGCTATCATTTACCTTTTCCTAACTCCTTAAATTGTGGGGTGTATGCAGGAAATTGTCGGAAATCGGCTTAACTTGCAAGTGCTGTAAAGTGGCTAGTGCTGACCGGGTATGTGGGAATGGAGAAGAACATGGAAGCTACCATTAATTGTCTAGTGGATTCCTTTTGTCGCTGCTATGTAATCCTCAACATTGTGATTTTCTGTTTCATTCATTCATGTCCTACCAGCAACTAGCAAGTAAACGCTGAGCCGTTCACATCCCCCAGTTTGAATTTCACCCTACACCCTAAACCTTAAACTTAAATCCTAAACCCTAAACCTTAAATCGTAAACCCTAAACCTTAAACTGTAAATCCTAAACCCTAAAGCCTAAACCTTAAACTCTAAATTCTAAACCCTAAACCTTAAACTCTAAATCCTAAACTCTAAAGCCTAAACCTTAAACTCTAAATTCTAAACCCCGAACCTTACACCTTAAATCCTAAACCCTAAACCTTAAACTCTAAATCCTAAACCCTAAACCCTAAATCCTAAACCCTAAACCCGTAGCCTTAAACCTTTAACCCTAAACCTGTGGCAGGATTGCTTGCAAGCGGCCGAATTGCAGTCTTCGGAGCTGCAGGCACTGCCCAGCAATTTTTCACAGTTAGAAAGGTCCGTCAGGGTTGATTTAATTAGGGTTTAGGGTCTAGGGTTTTAGGGTTTGGGGTTTAGGGTTTAGGATTTAGGGTTTAAGGTTCAGGGTTTAGGGTTTAGGGTTTTAGGTTTTGAGCTTCTAGGTTGCTTGTGAGCCTACCACCAACGCAGGGTGTTTTTCTTTCTTTTAAGGTCTCTGTGGCTTCCACCTGTACCTGGACCTCAAACGGATGTAAAATGATGGCACACAATGGTCAGAAAGATCATTAGTTGACGCAGTTTTGGGGTTACTACACCCTAGGCCCACAAGAATGATGTAGTAGTTCCCATTTTTCTTTCCAGTCCTCTACATATGAGCCACAATGTTAGCCTTATTAAGGGACCCTTAATAGTGGAGCTAGGGTTTCCTCTTGTAGTGTGGTATACTGCCTCATATATTCCTTAATCAGGAATCCATGTCCATTGGCTGTATGGGGAAATTTTGACTGTATGGGGAAATTTTGACTGTAGCTCTTGACTCGGAACAAAGAGCCCTAAACCCTAAGCCCTAAGCTCTATAATGAGCTCTAGGCACCCATTGGGGCTCATATGCTGGGTGTCCAGGTAGCGGCCATCCTGCCTGTCCAGGCCCTTCGTGACAGAACTCTTCCTGGGCATATCTTCTTCTTGGACGGCCAGTTGAAGGCTTCGAGTTGGATTCAGGGTTTAGGCTTTAAGGATTAAGGTTTAGAGTTTAGGGCTTAAGGTTCAAGGTTTAGGGTTTAGAGTTTAGGATTTCGGTTGTAGGGGTCTTAACAGTTTAGGGCCGATTGAGGGAGTAGTTCAAACTCGGACTGTGGCCAGAATCCCATGCATCCCTTCCCAAATGGCAGCGTAGGATTTTGACAAACTTGCAGGGGCCTTGTTTCACCAAGGTGACGTGCAAGCAAACCTGGTAAATTGAGGTTTAATTCGAGGATGTGTTTGATGTACCTCAACCTCTAACCCTAAACCCTAAACCCTAAACCCAGTCTATACGCCCTATAAGAAGGTCCTAATTTGAAGCCTTGAGCCCTAAACCCTGGTAGCTTAGATTAGGGCCAAGGCTTGGATCTAGGTGATAGGACGTGAGATGCAATATTTCTGGCCAAGGCCTAAACCTCGTGGGTTTAGGGTTTCGGGCTTGGATTTGGGATTGTAAGGTTGACTAGGATTTTGGCTTTGATGGGTGTTACCTCTTCTCTAAGCCGACAGAAATAGTGTAGCTTGTGATATAGCTGTCTCATTCTCAAACCTCTAGAATGATATTCCCTCGTTCAAGTCAGGCTAGTCAGATAAAGCCCGCTGGTGTACTGGACTCCCGAATTTGGATGCGATGGTGACAGGCCTCGCCGCTAGATGTTTCAGATTTTTTAAGGAGGCTGTCCTACTTGGTGGCCACATGTTTTGTGTCTAGCTTTCGGGCTTAGCTGATGATGCCTCTCTCGCAGTTCCTCGGAAGAGAAGATATTGAACATGCAAACATCTTCAGCACGACGAAACAAAAGTCAGGAACAGCCATAATCCTAAACCCTAAACCCCCTAAAACCTAAACCCCCTCAACCCTAAACCCCATTAACCCTACTTGAACTGCCCAAGCCGCCAGAGCCGCTGTAGGAACTTGATGTTGCCTGCACCAGTAGCATGTGTGATGGTTTTATATTCCCCATTAAGTAGGGATTGAAGAATCATAGGGGTTATATAGGGATAATGGAAGAGAAAATGGAAACTACTATTTAGGGTTTAGGGCTTAGGGTTTAGGGTATGTAGTCTCCCTTAAGTAGATAGAATATGGGGTATATGGGGATCTTATCATGACATACCCAAAGCCATATTCTATCTACCTAAGGGGGACTATCTCTGGAAGCGTGTGCTTTAGAGCCAGGCTCTGATTTAGGCGCCTCTTTTCGCAAAAGTTCGCATTTCTGTACTGTTCTAGTCCCCATTTCTGAGAGCAACAGGCACCCGGCTCAGAATCGCGGCTTCAGTCTGATGATTTCTAGACATTTTCCCCCGCCACGGGCTCCTCGTGTCAAGGTTTGTTCGCACTCCCCGAAATGGAAAGGTCAACCCCAACAGCATGTAGCCTATACAACCCCCATATAACTCCTATATACCCCGTAAAACCCCTATAAAACCCCATATAGCCCCTATACTGAAGGCGGAAGTCGAGATTGTCACGGCAGCCCCTCCCTCTTGGAAAAGGAGTTCGACAATGATTCGGAGGAACCGTTGGATTTTCTAGATGTGCTGGAAGAATGAGGGTTCAGGGACTTGGGCATTTGGTTTTGAGCAGGGAGTATAGGTAAGAGCCGCGTCATTTCGAACCTCGTTGCTATGCAGAGCCTAGTGGTGGAGTGCATGCAGGGTTCAGTGGAGAAGTCCACAAAGCAGGACGCAAGCCCAAGGTTCTATCCTCAGAGGTTGGGAGGTCAACATACGGAAAGGCCTTCTTGCCAAAAATCAGCAACGTCTTGCCTGGAGTTAGGACAGGGCATGAGGGTGGTTGTCAAAATTATGGTCCCTTTTTGGGTCCCTATTATAATACGGCACCTAATATCTAGGGCACCCAAAAAGGAATCATAATTTTGACATCCACCCATGAGGGTTGAGCAGGGAAAGGTACGTGGAGGTTTGGAGCAAAGGCGCGGGATCAGTCTGTGGTATTTTCACTTTCTTGGTTTGGAGATGCTACTGTTTAGCTTCGTAGACTAAGCCCTAGCCTACATCCTAACCCTATGAACCCTAAACGCAAAAAAGCGCGGTACAAAAAGTACAATGCAGGATTCTACGACCAGAGGAAGAGCAGTAATTACGTTCTTTGTGATTGTTACGGCTATTGTTGCAGTAATATTCTTTTGCCACCGCTGCTACGATTAGTGTTGTTAGTCCAATGCATCACCCCCTAAAGCTTGAACTCATGTGACCAGCCCAGTGAATCCTAAACCCTAAACCCTAAACCCTAAACCCTAAACATCTGCAGGAGGAGGACTGCCTGCCGCAGCCGGGCTGAATTGCTTTCAAGTTCTGACTCGGGGCTGTTTGGGGTTCAGGGTTTAGGGTGTTGGGTTTAGGGTCTAGGGTCTTTGGTATAGGGTTTAGGGTTTATGGCTGGAAGATTTTCAGGCTGCTTGACAATGAGTTGCATGGCTACCTTCAAGTGCAGGTTGCGGATGTCCCCACTGTTGCTGGTATCATTTTTTGCTAGTATTATTGCTACTATTGCTACTTTTCGTACTGTTGATATCTTGTATGGTTACTGCAAACTTGATATCTTTTATTGTTATTGCTACTGCTGCTGTTTCATTGCTATTCCTTTTTTCTTTTACTGTTGTCATTGCTACTAGTAATTTTAAATACTGTCGCTATTACTGCTATTGTTCATGTGGTTTGTTGGTTCGCGATGGCTGGGAAGTAGGATTGGATTCAAGACGTGGAGGGGGCCGTGTAGAGAGCTTGGGTTGAGGGTTGAGGGAGTGTAGGGAGTTTAGGGTTCAGGTTTTAGGGAGTCTAGGTCTTAGGGTTTAGGGAGTTTGGGGTCTAGGGAGTTTAGGGTTTAGGGAGCTTAGGCTTTAGGGAGTTTGGGGGTATAGGGAGTTTGGGGTTTAGGGAGTTTAGGGTCTAGGGAGTATAGGGTGGGAGTTTAGGCTTTAGGGAGTTTTGGGTTTAGTGTTGTCATCACCAGGCAGCAGTGCCTTTCTACGCACTTATTCGACACATGATCTAAGTCACGCTTGCAAGATGGTACTGTCCATAAACAAGGGGATCTCAATACAGACTCCAAATATTAGAGCCCTTAGCATCGGTAGCCCCAAAAGGTATCCCTAATTAATGTGAACCCTGAGACCAGTAATTGCAAAACTTGACGCTCTGAGATGTTCGGGGTTCGCCTTCATGTGGTTCTCTATGGATTGTAACATGGGTATTTTGCAAGATAGCCTGGTGTAATCCATAATATGGACCCCTAAATCTCCTCAGAGTTACTACATACCTCTTAGGGTTTAGGGTTTAGGGTTTAGGGTTTAGGGTTTAGGGGCTGGGGCTTCTGGGATGCAAAAGCAGGAAGCTTCCAAGCAAGTCCTTGCCAGAGTGAGGCCTTTCTTCAGTGGCTCCTCGGACCAGGTGCGAGGGCTTTTCAGGTTTAGGGTTTAGGATCTAGGGTTCAGGGTGTAGCTTTTAGGGCTTGAATTTGGCGTTCAGGGTTGAGGGTTTAGAGGGATTGGGTCTAAGGTTGAAACCATGGGGCCTTAGTAGGAAATTTGGGATCCCTACATGTAGCCTTAACGGTCCCCTACAATGCCTGAGGGCCCATGTTAGGGGCCCATACTTCTGACCTTAGATTAGGGTGTAGGGCGGGGGTGCTTGAAGGTTCAAGGTAATTAGAACCTAAGGATAGCTGTATTCGTGACCCAGTCCTTCTATTTTATAAGAAATCCTGAAAGGGCCCCCTCTTTAAGGGCTTCCTGCTTTTCATTTAGCCATCGAACATGACATGGAATTCTATTTTGCTCGCTTTCCCAATTTTGTTGATGCAAGGGGTCTGAGCAGTAAAGTGGCTGTCGAGGTCTACAACATTAGGAGAAAAGCTACTGAGTCCCAACCGGCATATAAGTAGTGTAACCTGCGTATACAGGCGGTGTAGGCGACGTAAAAGCGGCAGGTGGCGTTAGCTTCGTAAGCGACACAGGCGGCGAACGCGGAGCAAGCAGCGTAAGCAGTGGTGGCAGGCGGCGTAGGCTGCGTACGCGCGTAAGCGGCATAGGCTTGCAAGGGCGTAGATGTGAGCGGCGTAAGTGGCGTAGGCAGCGCCGCCGCGAAGGCGGCGTAGGTGGTGATCTCGGCGTAAGATGCCGGAGTAAGCGGCGTGAGTGGCATAAGTGGCGCGAACGCGTAAACGCGTCAAGCGGCGTAAGCGGCGAAAAGTGACCTCAAGCCACGTTTTACACCAACACTCGTTTTGCGATTTCTTTATTGTTGATGGGATGTGTCGGCGAGTGCAGGACTTGGAATTCTTGTGTCAATTCTTCTGCTGCGTTTCTTGGTCATCTGAAGTTCCAGGCATTTCGTCCAGGGCTACAAGGTGTCCCGCGGTTGCCGGCAGAATCGTATGAAGACTCTTAAGTTCCCCACCTTTGCCAATTGCCTGTGTTGTCGAGAGGCGTCTGGCAGCCACACCACTCTCGCCAAGCAGCTACTTGCCCGACATTTCTGTGGATTTCGCTGGAGTTTACTGATTAGGGGTTCAAGATCAAACCCCTAAGCGCTAATCAGGAGTAGGTTTGAAACCGCTGTGTTTTTCTTACTGCCATTGATCCCTATATGAGCTATAGTCTAAACTCCTTAAAGGGGGTTATATACGGATTATATAGGGAACAACTATAGGGCTTATTGAGGGGTATACTAGGAGTTTAGACTATGGCTCATATAATAAAAATACAACTTTAAAGATCCAAGTGTTACAGGGCCTCCAGACCTACCCGTGATTTGAAAACCACCCCCTCTTTAATTTAAAGGATCCCTATCATAATCCCTAGTAAGGGGAGGGGGTTTATGAATCACAGGTCTGGGCTAGAACTTTCAAGAAGAAGGGCTCCCCAGGCAGCTTTGAGCAGATGCTTTGGATACTGGCTTAGGGTAAGTTGCTCCGAGTGTGTAGGGTCGGTGCTTCTCCCCTGGGCTCCTAGCATAGCTTTCGGTTTAGAGTGGGCGTTTTTGAGTCGGAAGCCAACCTCAGGGCTAGTTCCGTGCAGAAGATCAACAAATAAGACACGTACTTTTGCACAGGACTTCAATTGCTCCCCCCGTCTCCCGCAACGTGAAGCCCGAGGCCTCAGTCCAGAAACTTGAAACTGCTTCGAGCTTCCGAACATTAGGAGCCCCTAAAACCCCAAACCCTAAGTCCATGAGGGGGCACGGCTTGATGGCTGCAATTGTCCAGTTGTTGTGGTTTTAGTCGAAATCTCCATCCTAAGCCACCATACGCAGCACAGCCTAGTGTAGCTTGTACCTCGATACCCAAAACTTATGGAAACTACTACTGTATATTGAGCTTATATTGGCTTAATGGAAGATAAAATGGAAACTACTATAGTATACTGGGGTCATATTGGGTAACTGGAACAGAAAATGGAAACAACTATAGTATTTTGGGTTATATTCCCTAAGCCCTAAACCCTTATTGTATTACGCGGGGTCCTAAATCGTGCAAGATCTCTTCCTTCCCTAAACCCTAAACCCTAAACCCTAAAGCGGTCTCTTCTTTAGCTGTCAGTGAATCAAGCGCCTGCGGCTCCACAAGGTCATACACTCCCGAGATGCTGCAGGCACGGCGGGCTCACAAGCACGGTCTAGAGTTCAGGGTTTAGGCTTTAGGGTTTGGAGTTTAGGTCTTAGGGCTCAGAGTTTGGGGTTTTGGGCTTAGAGCTTTGGGCTTAGAATTCTGGTCAAGGTTGCAAGGGTCTTCGGTTGTAAATGGTGCAAGTTATTGAGGCTTCAAGATCTTACTGGATTCTGGAAAGTTTTGCCGTTTTTGCTTCATAAGTAAAACGAGTAGTAGACATGGTAGCAATAACATCCTCCATAACTGTAGCGATGCTACTAACAAGGACAGTAGTAGTACTACCACTGCTAAGGCAAATCATAGTTATATGGATACAGCACACTCGCCCACGCCTGTAGCCTCACCGGGGCCTTTCAAGATAATGGGTCCACTCTTGGACGCCCCTAGAAGAAGGGTTTAAAAGTGGAGAAATTTCGATACAGATGTATGTGAGTGCCCTGAACACAAACGACCTTCACGCTTGGGTCCTTCATCCTCTAACCCTCAACCTAAACCTTTAAGAATCCCATCAATGGCCCCGACGCCCTAAACTCTAAACCCTTAAACCCTAAGCCCAGTCTCACAACCTTGAAAGAGCAGACCGCTTGGCCGCAGGAGATCTTCCAGCGACAGTTGACCCAGGACGGGAAATGGTTTCGATCAAAAGGTCCTTGTGGTAAGTTCTTTAGGGCTTCTGTAGGTTTATAAGGGAAAACATGGGGAGGTCATTTTCCATAATGGCCATGCAGGGAACAGGAATTTTGAGGAGATTCCTGGTAATTTTTGAAATCTGACAAGCTCCTGTGAAATCCATCGTTCATGAACCTAAACGTTTTGCCTGGTGCTACGCCTAAACCCTAGACCCAAAGTTTGGCGGATCTCTGGGGCTTGTTGTCAGCGACCGGAACCATGCAGGTGTTGAGGGTGGTTGTAACCAGCAATTTGACTTGGGGGTTTCATAAAAAATTGGGCGTGCCTCTCTGGGGGTCCCCAAAATGAGGATTCTAGTATTTCGGGATCTAAATTGGGTTCCCCTTATTTATGGAAAGGGATCCGGTAGTTCGAAGATTTCAGGATTTCTGAGTCAAGCCGGTAGTGCAAAGGTTTGGCCTCTGAAATGTTCGAAGTCAGCTGGGACTGTGTGAGGCTGCGTGATTCAGCCACACGGCATGATGTATTCTGGGCTGTTCAGCAACTTAAGTAAACCTATCATAGGAGCCATAGTCTAAACTCCTTAAAGGGGGATATATATAGGGGATTATATAAGGGACTACTACAGGGGTTATGAA